TCTATAGTAGTGTACAGTAATGTCTTAGGCCTCCACATTCACTCACCACTCACTCACTGACTCACCCAGAGCAATTTCTAATCCTGCAAGCTCCATTCATAGAAAGTGTCCTATTAAGGTGTCTGATTTTTTTAATCACCTTTTTTATGTTTTATGAAGATCAACAAGAATATTTTTTATCTTTTATATCATTCTTTCACCATACCTTTTCTAGGTTTAGATTCTGTGTGTTTGTTTTTGAGGCAAGATCTGGCTTTGTCACCCTCACCCAGGCTGGAGTACAGGGGTGCAATCTCAGCTCACTGTAACCTCCACTTCCAGGGCTTAAGCCATCCTACCACCTCAGCCGCCTGAGTAGCTGAGACTACCAGCATCTGCCACCATGCCTGGCTCATTTTTATATTTTTTAAAATACAGAGTTTTGCCATGATGGCCAGGCCGGTCTCGAACTCCTGGGCTCAAGCAATCTACCAGCTATGGCCTCCCAAAGTGCTGCGATTACAGGCATGAGCTACCATCCCTAGACTTAGATTTTTTTTTTTAAAGACAGGGTCTCACTCTGTCACCCAGACTGGAGCGCAGTGGTGTAATCGTGACTCACTGCAGCCTCAAACTCTTTGGCTCAACCAATCCTCCTACCTCAGCCTCCCAAGTAGCTGAGACTACAGATGCATACCACCACACCCAGCTAATTTTTTAAGTTTTTTTGTAGAGACAGTGTCTTACTATGTGGATCAGACTGGTCTCAAATTCATGGCCTCAAGCAATCCTCCCACCTCAGCCTCCCAAAGCACTAGGATTATAGGTGGGAATCACCATGTCCAGCCTAGATATGCTTAAATACTTAAATAATTACTACTGTGTTACAATTGCCTACAGTATTCAATATAGCCATATGCTATCCAGGTTTGTAGCCTAAGAGAAATAGGCTACACCATGTAGCTTAGGCATGTACTAGGCTATATCATGTAGCCTCAGTATGTAGCAGGCTATACCATATAAGTTTGTATAAAGACACTTTCTCATGTTCACATGACAACAAAACTGCCTAATGACACATTTCTCAGAATGTATCCTTGTTAAGTGACACATGACTGTACAAAAATCAAATCTTTCAAAATAGATATACTAGGTCAGTGGTTCTCAATCCTGGCTAATCATCATACTCAATAGGAGAACTTAAAAAAAACAAAAACAAATTCCCAGGTCCCTTTTCCCCAGCCCCAAAAGACTCTGATTTACTGTGTGCAGAATAAGATCCAGAAATGTTTTCTTTTTAAAAAGTCCTGCTGGGCGCGGTGGCTCAAGCCTGTAATCCCAGCACTTTGGGAGGTCGAGGCGGGTGGATCACGAGGTCAAGAGATCGAGACCATCCTGGTCAACACGGTGAAACCCCGTCTCTACTAAAAATACAAAAAATTAGCTGGGCATGGTGGCGCGTGCCTGTAATCCCAGCTACTCAGGAGGCTGAGGCAGGAGAATTGCCTGAACCCAGGAGGCGGAGGTTGCGGTGAGCCGAGATCGCGCCATTGCACTCCAGCCTGGGTAACAAGAGCGAAACTCAGTCCCAAAAAAAAAAAAAAAAAAAAAAAGTCCTTAGGTGATTCTAGTAAGCTGGGTATAGGAATCACCACATTAGGGAGTACTTACTCATTAGAAGTTGCATCACAGGATTCCTTTGAACAACTAGATCCTCTGCCCCATGTATTTAATATAGAAATTTTAGAATCTAGGTTATCAAATTTAATCTATATACCATTTACCAAGAACATGTCTTCTATATTAAGTGAAGTCCTTTAGGAGGGGCCACATTTAACAAGATTATAGGAAGATAACAATCATCCACTAAGGGCCCCAGTTACCTCATATTTTCTATAGTTCACCAGCAAAGCCAAGAGCACAACAGCATCATACCCATGCTCCCTACGACTTGGGGGATGTGAAAGTATCTGTAACAAGAACCAAAAATGCATGAGACTTTTAACTCCTGGTTCCTGGGAATACAGAGAAAATTTGAAGAGATGGTTTACCCCAAAGAGAAAGAGGTAACAAGGGAATTGACCTACCTGTAAAATTGCTTCAAATATGCTGTTGATCATTACATACTCAAGAATAGTGTTCTGGCTGATGTTATCCGTCACCTGAATGCAATAAAAGGCTTTTTAAAGTCTGTACTGGGGCATTCTGATATCTCATGTAATCTCCTCCCCTAGCATCTAAGAGAAATAGAAATATTAAAATATTTCTACTAGATAACTTAACAGACCTTTCACAAGTGCCCCTTAAGTCATGAGAGCCTGAATAGACAGACATTATAGGAGTAGGAAATAGGCAAATTAAAACTTCCTACGTCTTTGAACTTCTCATTGTTTCTCTCATATTCTCACACATGCATTTGCTTAACAGTTTCTTGGGTTTTATTCCTCAAGTGCACAGGAAGAGGTTTATGAATGCAGAAATCTTTAAGAGGTGGCAGGGAAAGAGAACCGCCTGAAGTAAATGATCAATACCCCACTCTCCTTCCACTAGGAAGTACAGGGAGCCTACAGTTATAAAATCGAAGCCAGCCAGGCACTGCCTCAAAAAAAAAAAAAAAAAAACACCTCAGAATCACAAGAATTATTTCCAAATGAGACCTGATGAGAACAAGTCTGACAACCTAGAAGATAGTAGTTCCCCTGAAGTGAACCTTCTAAAGTGAAATATCACACAGCCCGCCGGCTAAAAATGCCAGTCATTGCTCCAAAGAGCAACTTTTAGGAAGCAAAAGACCATGCAGCTAACTTCCTACACATCCAGACACAAGGGAGTGATGCAATACCCCCACTGAGAATATTTTTTCTCTTTTTCCTTCTATCTTTGGGCTCAAGTATTCAAATAGGATTGCCCCTCCTGTCAATTAATACCCTTGACAAACATAGACAGGTTACTTACGGTCACTAAGCAAAGGAGAAGTTTCAGACATAAACTCTTCAGACTTTCAGAACCTTCTGCACAAAGCAATGAATCCAAACTCTCCATCAAGTTCTGAGAAAAAGAACCAGTAAGCATTAAACCGTACCAGGTAACACCCCACCTTTGTCCAACTCTGGGTTATGTTATCCAGGGTAATGTGAATAACACAAATGAAGCAACCCTATCATTTCCATAGGCCTAGGCCTTGCAAGGTTAGATAAAGAAAAGGAGGACTTCTCAGGCTGGGGCTGCTAAGAAAGAAAAAGAATAACAAGCCTTCAAAATCTAGCTATATTGAGAAAAATGCTTTAGAAAAATTACACAAGAACAGTAAAGAATTCACTGTTCTACCAAATGAATGCACGTTTGCAGTCTATCATCCTCATACAAACCTTTAGATTAGAATGAAGCAAATAAAAAAAGGGAAACCTAATGGTTCAATAATTGTACATAAGTTTCTTTTCCTTTTTTTTTTTTTGTCAGCCAAGCTGGAGAGCAGGTCATGTTCATAGCACACTGCAATCTCAAACTCCTGGGATCAAGTCATCCTTCCACCTCAGCCTCCCAAATAGCTGGGACCACAGATGTGTGCCACATCTGGCTATTTCATTTTTTTTTAAGTAGAGACAAGGTCTCACCATGTTGTCTCAAACTCCTGAGCTCAAGTGATCCTCCTGCCTCGGCCTCCCAAAGAGTTGGCATTGAAGTTGTGAACCACTATGTGAGCATCTACTCTGTGCTGAATATTGTGCTTTAAAAGAATATAGGGGCTGGGCGTGCTGGCTCACGCCTGTAATCCCAGGCCATGAGCCACCATGCCCGAGGTGGTGGGTGGGAGGCCGAGGTAGGCAGATCATGAGGTCAGGAGTTCAAGACCAGCCTGACCAACATGGTGAAATCCCATCTCTACTAAAAATACAAAAATTAGCCAAGCATGGTAGTGCGCATCTGTAATCCCAGCTACTCAGGAGGCTGAAACACAAGAATCACTCGAACCTGGGAGGCAGAGGTTGCAGTGAGCCGAGATTATGCAGCTGAACTATAGCCTGGGCGACAGAGCAAGACTCCATCTCAAAAAAA